GTAGGGGTCTGGGGCATGGAAATTATAATGTAACCTTTGAACCTTGTGCACGTTTTCAAGGCATGTTGTAGCAGGGCCCTATGGCTTACATTAGTTCAAAGTTTGGTGCGACTGAAGAAGTTTGGCGGGCTTCCGAGACGGTTTTTCGGGGACTGCAGCGCAGCTAGACAACTGGGTGGAAGGACGCAGCGATGACTCCGCTGGGAATCACATAGCTTGTAGCATCTTACTCATATTGTCCAAGCAGTTTTCATTGGTAACGGCGAAATAAAGGGAATGTATTAAAACCATTTTTAGTACAAAAGTCTTGTGCCTGTCTAAATTTCTATTTTTGTCTGGCCTCCAATTCCCCTTTCAATGGCGGATGGACCGTCGCCACCCCTAGCGATCAGCCGGGGGGCGCCCGGACAGGCTACATAAAGCCGATTAGACTTAAATCAAGTTGGACGTACGTCGCTCTTCCCTAGTCAGCCATCCCTTCAGCGGCGTCTCACTGCACGGTCGTCGCGCTCAGTCGGCCTGGCTGGGCGGGACTAGCGCAACGACCGGCAGCTCGCATAACCTTACAAGGTGCCCTCATTTAAGAACCTTTATTCTATAACGTGTGTCATACGTCACCAGTTAGTAAGTCCGACTTGAAGGACAAGGCGATCGGACCTCCGTCGGGATATGTAGTTATTCATGATTGCATATGAACGACAAGATCTTGCATAATGTATACGAAATTTGCACCAATCAAAGTAGTCGTGTAGACTTGTAGACTCCTTCTTTATAATGCAGGTATGAATGTTGCGAACGACGTAAAACAATTCCGGCAATGTGATTGGGCTGAGCACTACCGTGACCACTTTTGGTAGATAAGCCCATTCTATGTACAAACGGTTGGCAGATTCGTCAAGTCGGGATTTCATAGTAATAAGTGGACACAAGAGGGCGCAAAGCAAGTAAACGGCGCGCACCTCGATATGTATCCAAGGCAGAAACGAAGACGTCACAGAGACCCCTACTTGAGTCAAGTCTAAAAGCCGATTTGATATTCAAAATTTGATGTTCAAAATCAATCGTTATCTCATTTCTCCACAGTATCGGTGTCAGTTCTGAATCAACTGCAAGTTCAGCTGAATGTGTTCGACACGGCTGGACAAGAGGACTACGATCGCCTTCGACATCTTGCCTACCCAAACACCGACATCTTCCTCGTTTGCTTTGCCGTAGACTCTCCTACGTCGCTGGAGAACGTCAGAGACGTATGGGTACCTGAGATTCGGTGCTATCATAACTGTGGTCGACCCATTCCTTTCATTCTGGTGGGACTCAAGGCAGACCTCAGAACCGGGCCAGCAGATGAACCACCGCGGCGAGCGTCTTGGTGGGAAAAGAGGAGGAGTCGACTTGCATCAGCGGAACACGTGACAAGCGAGATGGGCGAGGCGATGGCTAAAAAGCTTGGGGCGGTTGCTTATAGGGAGTGCTCGGCACTATCTCAACACGGAATCAAGGCCATTTTTGATGAGGCTGTAATGGAGGTTGCTGTGAGGCAACTCAAGCCTGCTCGACGTTGCTGTAGGGGGAAGACCTCCAGCTCCGGTAATATAAAGCGTACGATACGGAGATTGGTTTGTGGTAGTACACTTCAATGCACGAGAGATGCACACTAAACAGGTGGCGGGAAAAGGGAAAATATTGCAAGTTAAATCTGATAACGTGTGAGAATAAAGTATAGAACAAAAAGAAGATAACGTCGGGTAACATTTTCTAACGATTTAGAGTTCCTTCGTGCCTGTATAAGGGCCCGTCCAAAGTAATCCCCTTAAAACGTGTCCGTGTATTCCCATGTAACCATATTATTTTAACAGTATTTTTGTCTTGTCATCTTAAAAGGCATATTCGATCGTCATTTCAATTATATGCCTGTATACAAATTTGCATATTGCCTAAGCAAAAAGTTTGATATTGCAAAAATAAATCGTAACTGTAACCACTTGCACGAAAATTTTCCAGAAATTCAGATTTTTTGCCGCCTTTCATCTGTCATAATTATGTTGTTTCCCACGTAGACAAATGAATGTGACTTTCTCGTGACTAAATATATTGGCATTATTTGCATATTAGCGGTTCACAATTTGAACATGAAAGCCCGAAAAATTTCATATAACATCAGAGAAACAGCGCCCGTATTTGTCAAGAAATTTTTTTACGAATTTCTCAATACGATTACCCAAAAGGAATGTGAATGTAATTATCATACAGTAAAGAAAAGATTGGTCCTTTAAACTTGTAGATACACTTTCGTAAATAAAAATCGCATCCATGAATAGAATCTTTGAAGATGATATTCACTACAAAGAGTTTTCGATATGCTGCGATATCATAAATATGTACATTATTTATTGTCACTATGATGTTAGTGTCATTCTTCCTGTCAACTGAAATTGTACTGTATAAGTCAAGGCGAAACATAAGGAGGAACGCACTGAAAAGTTTACTTAGTGCAGTAATATGTTTAAACAATTTCCAATTAACGGTATAATCAAATACCCGGTTATAGTTAGTCTCCCCCATTTATAGTTTGTGGATTGTCGTTTTTGTTTTTCAGTTGTACCTTTTATCTTGTGATGTGAGGAAGAAATAGTCCGTTTAAACCGAGTCGACCCAAAATCCTGTATGTCGTAGCAGCTTTCAGAAATTCTGTAGGCTGGCAGGCTCTTCTTTTTTGTCAAACGAATAGCTTAGTTACAAGTCGTGCGAACCTGTATACGATCTTAGAATTTGGTTAGAAAATGCTTGAGCAGGTTTCCCAAAATAATAAAATTCACAGCTGAGCTCCAAAATGTTATCATTAAAGAACGTAATTCGTAAGCGCCCAGGTTCAGAAAATTGGGAGTCGAAACGTCTGTCAACATAGTCCAATCGCAGGAAATGCTGAGGCTTCCCAGCAGACGGTGGTCAAGCCACCAAAACACTATGGAGTTGGACATCAGGCCTGAATTGGTAACCTCTGTATGACTTTAAAATTATTTATAATGTAAATTTCAGGAGCAAATCTTTGGCGGATTAATGTTTGATCACTAGGTTAAAGGTGTTTGATGTCATTTGTCCACAGGTAGAAGAGTATTTTGTGGCTTTTTGATGAAATAAAGGAGCAAAACTAAAGCTTTCAGGTAATCGTCTTTACCTTGCGAGAAATGAGAATCTTTTGGCTACATAGCTGCCTCGGTTTATCTACCAGAGTTGACTTTCCCCAGAACAAACTGCAATGACCCTGAAGAAGCCGGCGGGCCGTCTCGATACTTTTCCCGATATCGCCGCATTGCATTTTGTGAAAATCGAACATACCGTTCTTCCGCAGCGCGCATTTTTCTGAGGGTTGGCACGCATTGAACTTCAAATGGCCGCATAACAACAGTACAATATGTTTGATAGAGTTCAAACTTAACATTTGTCATGATAAGTAGTGTGCACAACAAGCTTTAAAAAATCAAGTGTGGTAAAGCTTAGCTCTTGGAGGTGGAACCGCCCCCCCCGGCTGTGAGATGGGCCGAAACAATCTGGCCCTTAAGGAATCGCCATGACCAGACATCCTTTTTTAATTGTTGGTAGTTTTTAATCTTGAGATTCCAAGTACTGCATTATTACAGTCCCCTATTGTCCTCATATATCATCCTACTATATTACAGAGGTGGTAGTAAGTCAATTTTGGCAAGTCCAATCCACTCACAAGTCAATTTGGTCTAGTCACAAGTGAGTTGGTCCAGTCACAAGTCATTATCACAGGTCAAGTCAAGTCATATACGTCAGTTCGGTCAAAACACAAGCAAGTCACAAGTCTTTTTGTCAAGAACGAAGTCTTATACGCTGATTATTTTAAGAACCTAAGGCGTAAGCTGATAGGGTTAATTTAAAACTTTAATCGGTTCACTTGAGTAGTTTTTTATGTGCGTTGGTAACATGTCATAATGTGCAAGTCCAGGTCAAGTCACAAGTCATTTTTTGCAAGTCCAAGTCAAGTCCTAAATCATTTTTTGCAAGTCCAAGGCAAGTCATAAGTCAAAAACTGATAGTTACAAGTCAAGTCACGAGCCAAAACAGCGACATGAGTCCGACTCGAGTGCAAGTCAAGTGGCTCAAGTCTACAACTCTGCCAATATACTGTCCCATATTCATCTTGTATCCATTGCAGTGTTCCTTTTGAGCTTCCTGTAATACCTGTGGCAAATGAAATCATGGGTATCCCTATGACGGGAAAGTTCTTTCCAATGGGGAGCAAAGCACCCATCATCAGCAAGCTGACAAACCGTAAGGGGTCGATTCCGAGATATCTTCATGCGAATTTGTTATTTTATTCCCCTTTCCTCCTTTCGTTTTCATTTCCTTTCCTTTCCATCTTTTGGCTATTTTGCCATTCTGTCTTCCCCTTGTCACTCCCATCGGGACTCCCATAAATGAAATACTACAGCCTCATATACTACTGACTGAATTTTGCATGATTTTGTGCATGACGCAGATAATGATGACGTTACAAAATTTGGATACTGTAAGAAATCCAAATTCAACACACCCAGCCACCAATTTCCAAAGGGAAGGAGGTCGCCAAAAAGTGGTCAGACATTCATTTACATAAATAAATCAGACTCCATTAAGTAATCGACACAGATGGATCCACAACAAAATTTGACTCGAACCCGGCAAGTTCGGTGGTCGAGTGGTTAAGACGTCTGCAGGAGGTCGTGGGTTCGAGTCCCACCCGAGTACGCTTGTGGGTTTTTCACAAGCCTTCGGGGGCACACACGGAGCATACAGTGTTAAATACACGTCGGGCAGGGCAAAATCTGAAATTAATTTACAAATCCATGCTTGAAAAATTGTCTTAATTAATGACCTCGTCCCTAAGGCCCTCGGTGCATCGGGATGCACGATCGTTCCCATAGCCAAAACTGTTTACATGCATTGCACTTTTCGGACTAATACGGGCTCAACGAGCTTTATGTGATTACAACCTTTTCAATGAAATCAAATATAAGTATCCTGGACATCTTAATTAAAGTACCGTGAACAGTGATAACAGTAGGCCTAGTTTCGGGGAGCAGGTAAGTAGATTTTAAGAAAGTTCCAGAAACTTAGCATTTTTCTTTTTCTTTTTTAATTTGTCGACACTTTTTTATTAGAAAGGCTTGTTTAATTTGTTTAATGCCCAATCTCGTGGGATTTATTTGCGTAATATCAAACAATCACAATGGGAAAGGGGGTCGTTTCAGAGGGAAAATGGGTATTCTCGCTGCTGTGTGTATGGAAGAATGCTGGAAATAAAAGAATCCTGGGGACGAGTTCACTCATTTGGTTCTTTTGTGTATTCTGGGTGATAGTTCATTCAATGCACGGAATGCAAGATTATTAGAGTCTATTTGGTGTCACAGTGACACGAGGAGTTAATTATACCACATGTTCTCGTGATGTACCTGACCTTTGAGACGGACACACGTGATTCGAGCAATGATTTGTGCAATGACTGGGCATATGACATGCACTAATTTATTTCATTGCCGAACTTTCGGTAACTGGGTAGCTTCGTCATGGCAAGCAGATTCAGGTTATTGAACTAAAGTGAATTGAACGTTGACCTACATCTGCTTGCCCTGATAAAGGTACCCAGTTACCGAAAGTTCGGCAATATGATAAATTAAGAGCACTGATTGTATATATTTTTGCCAATATTCTGATCATGGAGATACGCAACCCTTTCATATTTTCCTGACCAATCGAAATTGACTAAACTATCTGGTATCTACGTGCAAGCTCGTGATTTATGCAGTGGGCATTATCACTTCTCAGTGGGGATTATTTTAATGCAAGGTCATGTGACGCATTTCGACCAATAGGAATAGAAAATCTGTTCCAGGAATTTATGAATAAACCTGTTCGTAATTACGAACTGCGCATGCGCGAATGAACTTTTGCAAAGGTCATTTGTACATAAAACGACTTGAAATTGCTGAAATAGGGAGGATGGTGAAGACGAAGTAGGGAAGAACAAAATCAACATTCTAGTAACCTTCAATCCCATACAAACGCTAAAATGATAATACTGAATAATGTCCCAAAATAATTTACAATTCTTTTTCTAAAACGTTTAAATACGGAACGGAAATATCACTGCAATTTTCCTCTGCCTCATAGCCCTCGGAAAGCAATAATAAGTCCTAAAAAGTCAAATTTAACAGTGAGAAAATTGAAGCATTTTCTTAGAAAATAAAATGATAATAATTTAAAATTATATAAATCCCAATCATTCAGAATTCTTTTAAAAAAATGTTCAGCACTCGTACAGCCACTCAAGCTGCACAGAAAAAAATTATCAACATGCCGTCTTTCCTTTCCTTTTGATCTTTGGTTGACCAGTGACTTTGGGAGAAATTCTTACCCGTGCAAAGCAGACGACCCCTAAAACAAGAGTATTTCCCAGACTGGAAAAGTACTCATCATGTTGAAAAAAGGATCCCTCCAGTTTCGAACTCAACTGAATCCAAAATGCTTGGATTTGGGCGACCTTAGTCCAGGCCAAGGGTCCGCTGCCGTTATTTCTTCAATTCCTATTCCATAGTTCTAAGAGCTCTCTAATACAGAATATTTCTTTATTCTTGATCCTGGCACAGACAGATTTTTGGCCTATTTACGAGGCTGCACACTCGATGGAAACTGCGAACTGCACTTCGCTGGCCCGCTACCAACAATTTAAACAACCCCCCCGGCGACATTTTTCAACCGATGAGGGGGTGCTTCTGCTTGAAGTGGTATTCCAATGACATTAGATTTCAATTTCCACCGCATTTAATTTTGTTCACCGTATGCTTCATGTTGTAGCCTTTTAACTCGCCCTTTTGCAGAGTTTTCGCCTTTTTTATCCCCGAGACAAAGTGGTGCTGAAATAGTGGTTTCTTACAACTCGTTTTGATTTTTCTATTATTGAGAGTAAATGAGTGAAAGGAAAATTTATATGGAAGTGACGTTATTCAATAAATATGTTTTCTTACATTTGCCATAACGAAGTGCACCGAAAAGAATTGGCATTATATATTTCCAAGAAAAATTCAAGCACAGTTTTGTATATTTTAGTTTTAAATGATTGTCAAGGTTGTTTTATATATAAAAATGGTAACACACAATTTTTTTTTATTTACTAAACAAAGAATGTACAGAAAGTCAATTTCAAAGCGTGTTTAATTCATAAAAGTCAAAAGATTGCCAACACCCTTCAATGACCGTGGCCCCTTAACTCCCCCAGAAAAATGAGTCCAAAAATGAATTTATATTTTCATTATTTTACCTGGAGCTCGGAGGACTGCTTTAGGCTACAATTGCGAACTTAACAAAATGAAATCTTATTATGTCAAATCGAAATCACATTCCGAGGTTGGTCACCAAGATCTTTGTGGACGAAACTGAAGTATCTTTTCAACAAAGATTGGTATCACAGCAGCAGTTAGATGTACGCTGAATTACAGGGAAAATCTTTAATATTCGTTTCATGTACCAAACGTAAACTGCGTGTTCGATGGGCGTTTTTGTTTGCACTTGCCCTTCAAAATGTTGTTAATTAAGCCACTCGTTAGGGCCAAGGTCTGGTTTCTGTGTCACGGGATAGGACAAAGTACGGCGCTCATCACATGACACATGGAGGAGTATATCTTGGGGGCAGTCAGAAGCCGGATCACACCATCCCAAGTTTTACTGGACTCGATCACGTCTGACGCTGACAAGATGAAGTTGTTCCTGGCTCTTCTCTTGGCGCCCTTGGTAGCCACCTTCCCATCTGAGAACTTCTTCCCTCTTCCGCAGGCGGAGCCCTCGCCTGGCAAACACTGGGGATTACTGGTGGCGGGTTCCAACTCGTGGTACAACTATCGCCATCAGGTAAAACATCGAAGCCACTGTCTATCGTTGGTTATGTATTTCTTCTACAAAAGGACACGATCTACAACGACACAAGCTGCTTTTCACACTTTCCATTCATGGTTTCATACATTGATACAATATTGTATGAATCTTTATTTACTCCCATGTTCAATTTTCATTTTGCCATCTCTTAAGCAAACATTTGATGTCCTTCAAGAAAATCTGCTTTTCTCAAGTGATTCGTTGAAC